TAAAGGCTTTCAATTCAATTCAAAATGTCATGGCCTGCTACTTAACTATACATTTTCATTTTAGGCTCATTGCTGACATTCCCATTGGTTCAGAGAATGTAATTCATCACACTTATTTTATAGAACATCGCTAGAATAAGTGTAATCCTTGGTTTCCTCCTCTAAAATTACGAAGGGTTGGCCATAGCATCCTGGCACTGACAATGAATGCAAATAGAATATAACATTATGTCTTTTAAAAGCATTTCTTATTGAAAACATTGTTTATTCCACTTTTTTTTTTTTTTTTAAAGGTTCCATTTCAAGATGCCCTGGATCTGGTGCGGACAAGGAGAGTTTACCTCAAAGCAGGCTACGTGTACATCCCTCACCAGGACATTGTCACCATTGTTCTCAACGATTTCCGTACTAGGCTTTCCAAAGCTCTCGCAGTAAGTGTTTTGCAAGTCTTCACTGTTTTGGAAAGGAAGAATAATAAAAGTTCCGTAATATTACAGAAAGCTCCAAGACAAATGGTAATTTGTATTTCGTGGGAAACATGACGACGACTGCAGGCATGATGCGCTGTAGTTCACTAATGGGCCTTTTATGTATGTAGACTGTGCATGGACTGGCCTTTAAATCAATAATAGAAACATCTTACAACACAATCCAACACACCCCCTCTGACCTAAACAGTATAGACATAGATTTTAAACAACACCTCTCTAACTCAGTCCAACACAGCTTCACTTTGCATTAGATTGTCTCCCTGCACATGCGGTTTATGTGGATATATTTTGTCCATACAGTAGACCAGCTTCCAGGAGGCAAATTATTAAATCGCAACCACGGTTGTTCTCTTCAGTGCCCCGGGGAAACTGAAGGAAATGTGCAGGGTTCAAATGAGGGGAATAAGTATGCACACATGACATAAAATGTCTGGAGGGAAGACTGGGGACAGCTAGTATGAAAGTGCTTATTGTCCCTCCGGGCATGATGTTTTTTTAAAGGCTGTGGAAGGGGGGTCTATGAAGGCGCAATATCTGCACACTTCAAATGGCCTTAGGGATATGGAACATGATGTTTTGGGAACCAGGGGCCTTCTTTATAATACATGTGAGAAGACAACCACGGTTCAGTTACATTATTGTGAGGGGCCCTCGCTAGCCAACAGACACAAGCACATTCAACAACCATAGGCAGTGGCACTAAATAGTTTATGAATAGACTTGTTCTATTAATGAGGTGCAACAAACTGTGTTATAGTGACTGTGTTTTTAAATTACCCTTAAATCTAGTGCTGCAATTTCTTGTTTCTTATCTGCCGACTTACAATACAAACTGATACAGATATGTATCAGCAGTAAGCTAATACCGGCCAGTATATTGGTCTAGTTCTCTAATACCTATGCACACATACATGTATGTCATGCTTCCTCCTTTATTTTGTGTTTTCCAACTAAAAAGCACTCTGTCAATAGTGACAGCAGTTGCAATGCCTTTCCAAAGTAGCTGTTTGAGTCTACTCTGGGACTGGCAGCCTGCTGCTTTGTGCCTAGAACATTCTTTGGAAGTTTGAACAAAGGTCCATTTTTGTTCCGCGATGTTGTTCGTCCTTTGTATTCAACCGAGTCGTCGCTTTCAATCAGTGCATTTCTGTGTAATGCCTGTGCTCATGACAAAGAGTTGGGCTCCGTTTAACCAGTGACCTAAAATGCCCATTGACAAGTTGAACAGCACTCATCTGAAACTCACTACTGGCAAACTGGGACATGTGAGAATACCACATTGTAGGATGCATTGTGTGTTTGTGGTGTAGTACAGAAAGTCATTGCCTCTGTACTACTGTTAGCATATAGTGGGCACATGTCCTCCATCATGGGACAAGAAGGACCATCTTTTCCAAATAAAAAAAAAAAAGAAAAGCAAATAAAAAGATCCAGTCCAGTTCCACCATTCTCCCATTCCCTGGTAATTATCCGCACCACTAACTGTTGGAATGAAATAATGCGGCGAAACTATTTTCCTTGTAACCGTGCCATTGTGACTGTCTGTGTTACTGTAATGGTTATTCTCCTCCACTGGGGACAACAAGGGGGCATAGCAGAAAATGTGTCATTAAAAAGGCATGAAATTGAAAGCTGCTTCTCCATATGACTCCAGTTATTGGTTGAATGTTCATTTTAACAGAAATATACATAATTAAAGTGTTTTTTTGTGCATAGGAATCACTTGACAGTTGTTTCGTATGCTACAGATGTTTCAGGATGATGTATGATCATCTGCTCAACCTAAAGTCAGAAAACCGTATCCCTGTTTTACAGCTGAGGGAATTTTAATGCATTTTAATGCTTTTCTAGCACTGCCACCAAATATTCAATGACCTAAGGATCCTTGCAAGTCTTATAATTGATGCCAATTATTTACTTTTTTTAGTTACAATAACAGAAATACCAACACTGAGCAACCCACAATAAATGTTCATTCCTGATCGATACCAGAGTCTATTTTAACCTTTAGTTATTGTTTTGTGTCGTACTTAATCTTTGCACTTAACCTGCAATGTTAAGTTTTCTGGTCCTTTCACCAGCTCTATTAACCATTACTCATGTGATGTCCGTCTCTTCTGCAGCTGACAGCCCGCTCGTTACCAGCAGTGCATTCTGATGAACGGCTCCAACCGCTCCTTAACCACCTCAGGTAAGCAGCAGGATTAATAACTTTGCTGCCACTTTTCCAGGACTCTGTTGAAAAAGAGATTTAGCAGGATTGATCTTTGGCACCAAAGAACATTGGAGGCTTGTGGCTAGTCTGAGTAAACGCAATCTGTCCCTGTAGACAAGTCCAGATGTTGTGTGAACTTATGGTGCCTGGCTATGTGCGCAGCATCATCTGTTCCCATTGTTACTCAGTCAGGTAATTAGGACTATGCAACACGTGCGTTGTTTCTCCTGCAATTTGTCATGCACTGTCTTGTCCTCGGTCACGGTGGGCAATGTTGGTTGTTGAGTGGCAGGCGCCATGGTTTTCCTCAGTTGTTATTTTGGGGATAGATTACTTCATTGATTTGTGTCTTAAGTTTTGTACAAAAGTGCATTTTTATGGTGAAAATTGACAGATTAAACAGAGCTCAGTGTGCACTTTGCACAAGATCAATAGCATGGTTGGGATACCTACTTATTGTACGATCAGAGCCTGTTACGTGAACACAGTGCAAGTAGTTTTCCGTAAGACAGGAACGATGCAGTAAAAGCTGTTGCTTACCTTGATGTGTTGGACGATTAGGTTTCACCCGAAATGCAATACAAGCCTTATGCCTCATCTAAGTATTTCACTATCTGCAATATTTAACTATATCTATTGACCAAAAAAAGCACTTAAAATGTCCATATAGTTATTATGCTTGATCGAACAATATAACTGCCGCTAACTTATATTGCTAAGGCGGTACCCCTGTAGAGGTGCCTTAATGTAAAAACCTTAAACCTGTTCACCATTGAAAGTTAATGTGATTCAGCAACAGCACATACGTTTGCATTCAATAGTCGACAGCTGACTTCATTTCAGCTTCAATAGCAAAGGAGGGCAGCTCAGAACCCAGTGAGCGTGTTTATCTTTACTCTAGATAAAAGTAGGAACATGAATATAGGGGTGGAAGAAGTCATGTTGCCTGATTGTTGATGGGGATTAGTGGGCAGGTTGTTGAGATTAGTGGGCCAACCACTAATCTCTGGTAAGGGGAAACGCAGCGTGGGACTCAAGGGGTTGCCAAAGCCATCGACTTAAAAATCTACTGATAGCAGCTTAGCAGATTTAACTTTGTTTGGCAGGAGGTTACAGGGGATGTATTATATTAACTTTTTTAAATAATAGTTTCCGGTCATGTCTTAACCGTATTTTCTATCAAACGGACTTAATTTCATTGAAGAACATTCTTCAGAAAATATAATCAGTTTTCATGGCAGCCCTCATTGCTTCTAAAGTTGTTTTAATATTACTAAAGAAATGTAGTCTTATTGGTCACAGTCCTGATAATGTTTTCTTATTTGTAGTCATGCCTATGTGGGACAGGATTACAGCATCCAGAAGAACGTTGGAAAGATCTCCTTGGAGCAAATTGATTCAGTAAGTTGCATTGACAATCTACTCTTGAAATATCAAGTTCAAGGTGCCATTTTGTTTGGGAATGAGTGATTTAAAAGGGGAGAATTTATGTTTGTATAGTAATACAGCTGGCCCAAAGCTAGGAATAAGTAGAAAGTGTGTTTATTCCCACTTAAGTTTTAATCAATCAGTTTACATTATTTTTAACACCATAGAAAAGGGCGGTGAGGAAAAGTAAGTGAGAATAAAAAAAGATATCCACAGGTATAGATATATTATACCTGTATGTCATTAATTGTTGTCCGCCTCCAGCTTTCAGGAAAGTCATTCCCACTCTGTATGAGGCAGCTCCATCAGAACCTAAGAGAGAGCCACCATCTCCGCCATGGCGGTCGTATGCAGTACGGCCTCTTCCTCAAAGGCATCGGCCTCTCTCTGGAGCAAGCGCTGCAGTTCTGGAGGTCAGAGTTCATCAGAGGCAAAGTGGACGCGGACAAGGTAATGTTAACAATATTAATGCAATATTACTTTACTCTTACTTGTAGTTTTTAGAAATCCGTTCTGGATTTTAAGACAAATGAGTGAGTAAATGCAGTTACTTTTCACCGCTCAGCTTCCTGTTAAATGTTGATGTGGGTTGCCTTGCTCAGCCAAATGTCACTGCAACTTTTAATAAGACCAGCAGCTTGCAAAGGGATTGATCTATGGGATGTATAATTATATAATCATAATAAGATCATAGTAAACTAAATTAACTGAATGAAAAATAAAACACGTGACAATGATGCAATAACCCAGTTCACCCATATCATAAAAGACGGGGCCAGATGGCACACATTTTGTTTAATTTTAGATCAACACTACACATTTATCTAGGACTGCCCCAGACTAAAGTTACATTGTTTTTCTTTTTCTGTGACTATCCAACTAATGACAAGTGGGTCGACTAAAACTCTTCTCACCTGTTAAGTCGACTGTTAGGGGGCAGCCCTACATTTATCTTTATATAAGTTAAATGGCCTCAAAATATTCTTGAGTATTACCAAATATGTTCTTTTAGAGGGCCATTTCATTTTTAAAGGCTTGTATATGCTGAATTCTGTACAACCTCACTTCTGACAAGTTTATCCCTGAACACCAGATTAGTGGACTGTAGGACAGCAGTCTGAATGCCTGACCCTCTCCAGAGTGCTATTCAACACTTAAATGGGTGGTGCTCTTTCGTCTGTGATGAAGTGACCCCATCAAGGCTGTATTGATTCAAAAAAAGTCCACTGGTATTATTTGCATGCACTGCTGTGATGAGGCTTTGGAAGACTAAAGTGGTCATGAGTTCAGTTATTGTGCCTCTCAATAAAAGGCAGAGACTCAGTAAAGACATTCACAGTGTTCCGCATGAAGAGAACCTCCATTCTTCATGTGAAGGAGAGGCAGTGGCGACAGGAGACGCCACATGATGGAACAGTTTGGATAAAACAGACAGATTTTCTTACTGCAGTTCCGTGGAAACGAATCTGTGTATTTGTTTTGTAAACAACCCCCGACTACACCAACATTTGTTTAACAGTTCTCACATGTTTGTGTTTACATTTCTGACATCAACAGCTACAGCAGTAGGTTTTGCTTCCTTAATTAGGTCCTTAGATAGCTGCAGATATGTTGTTGTTCAAGTGTATCTGACTTGAGTACATGGTTCAAAAGTATGGTCTTATAAATGTCAATGCACTTCCTTATTGACTGTCAAGAAAATAACTGCCTGTTGAATAGATAACTGCTTGTGTCAGTTTGCTTTCACAGTTATGACTGTACAGTATACACTTAAGACTGTTAGGACATCCCTGTATACATCGCTTTGGTTGGCCAATCTTAGCAGTGAGATATGGCAGACAGTCTTCACTCTGTTTTTTGAGTCGTTTTTTATGGTCCGTCCTCAGTGCCGCCACTTAGAGAGCTAGAGGTGGTACGTGAAACATGAAAATGACTCAATTCAAGCGATTTCACTTTATTCTGTTATTCTTTGTTGATAATTGTTTCATTGTTGAGGTAATTTTTAAGTGTTTTCAGTGGCTTCTTACTTTAGTATGGCGGTTTTCGCTTCCCTGAATACAAACCGAAAACAAACTTAAAGTTAAAAAGTTAAAAGACCAATTACAATATATAAATATCATATCATATAAAAAGTTATTCGTACGTATTCACTTCACTTGTGCCATGTTCCTTTTTTTTCTTTTCTTTTAGTAGTAGCCACCAGTAGTCACTTGGTTGACAGGACTAATAGGGCTGTGCACTATATTTAAACACTCACATGATTTTTCATTTTTAAAAGTATAATCATCCGACCACATGTATTATTATTTTCAGTCATTCATTAGTCTTTCTTTGTAGTAAAACTGCTGGGGTTTATTCTCATTGGGTTGTCACCACATATTTTGTTTAATTACTGAATTTTAAATTAAAGTGTACAAATACTACACCACCTCCTAAGACTGTTTGCTGCCCAGCCCCAGCTAGGAGTGGTGTACAGATGAACCAGCACGATTTGATGGCATTGTGACAGTGTCTGTAACACAATTTGTGCAATCAAACGTGAACAGTTTTTACCTGTTTATATATTCATCATTTATATTCTGTAACCTATATTTGCAAAGGCTTAAGAAATACTGTCCATCTGACAGTTAAACACCCATACCCGGCTTAATCTAACACATTTTTGAGTGCTCATCAAAAGATGTAGTAATAGAGTGCAAGGTGAGTGCCAAGAAATCATTTAATTGTTCTAAGCTGAAAAGACAGAGCAGCAATCTGGCACAGTAGTGCTTGTCATGCGGGCCTTGATCCCCGAGCCGTGTAACCTTTGAATAACGATTTGTAGTAGTAGATCACTCCAGGTAGTCTGCCTTCTTTCCAGTCCATAGACATGTATTGCATCAGCAAGACAAAGTATCTGGGCATGTTGTGGGAATATCTTAAGTCTCTGTTTCCTGCTGGTGTCACAGTTTCAGTAGTAATGAGAAGCCACATCAAAGAGTTCCAGACCAGACTCTGATGCACAAAGATAGAGTCCTTCATGTTTTTAGCTGTTCGAGAGTCAAATACTTGTTGGAAAATTAGTCACTTGTGAGATTTTTCACATCTCTTTTCTCAGAGCAAAAGAACAGCTTTGTATACAGAGGGAAAAAGGTGACAAAGGCGTCCTTGGTGAACATGGTGTGAATAGAAACAACGTCAGGAGTTTGAAAATACCATTTTAGACTATTTGTATATGTGTCTTAAATGCCTTTAACTTATACACTGAACATGAGCTTGCAGCACTTTATGATGGTTACCAAATGTTTGAGTACTTTTTTTTACAAACAGATGCTGTAACGGTTGTGACTAATGTCCCCTTATATGTTGTGTTTTTTGCCCTCTACTGTAAATCTGTAAAATCTATACTGTAAATATCCCCTTTAGGGACAAAGATCTGAACTGAACGATTACATGACTGGAGGGATCTTTAAGAATTAATTGAAAAGACACAAAACTGTTATGACAAATTTAACCATAAAAGTCTCTAAAAAGGTAAGTTGTGTTTAACATTTTTAATCACATTTCAAAAATTGATTTAGTTTTGTAGGGCTCTAAGTTGAGGGCGTGCACAAACACAAAAAAAACCGACCACCGCTGTAACACACGCACTGACGCACACATACACAGCAAGAAGACAAACCGCAACAGTGACATCTGAAAGCGATGTACCTGTCACGGGTGTCAGTCAGTTAGCTGCCCCGAAGCAGTGGTGGGATCTTGCACTTTGTGGTGTCACCGCCACACCGGCAAAACATACCGTGGAAGAGACGGGGACAAGGACGCACTATAGAGACGGACACAAACTCCCTCTCTGAGAGTGATGGATGTCAGAAGTCTGAATTAGTTTAAGATTACACATAGGAGCACGCCAGACAGGTGGCCTTATCCCGCATTATTTAAAAACTGTTAACACAAAGTTCACAGATGTTACCCAAAATAAACTGTTAATTAATTAATTGAATTAACGTGATATGAATAAATAAAATCATTATCACTAATGCCCTAATAAATAATTTTGATGGTATTTTATTTGTGCCACGCATTACTTTTAATGATCAAAATAATTTTATTGTAGAAAAGTAGACATTTTATTGTTGGAACCGCCAGCATTTTTCTTCGGGATGGTTAAAATTGTTTTTCAGGGCAGTTTGGGACAGTGGTGAAAAAAAGTTAGAGACCCCTTTTTGGCACTATGTAAGCAGACTAATTGGGCTTGTCCTTACAACATTCTAAAGACAGGGGAAAGGTGAGGGGAAATAACGCAGATAACTAACAAGGCTGCATTACTAATTGGAGATGAAAAGCAAACAAATGTCACCAGTAATTTGTGTAGCCCTTTGAAATGGTTTCGTACTGCAGCAAAATATGTTAGGAATCAGGACAGCCATTTTTGAGATGTGGTTTTATTTACTAAAGATTTCATTCAATAAGAGAAAGTATTTTCAGTTGAGCCATCTAAAGATTTCCCATCTGTTAAGTAGTTACAGAAACACAATAGCAGAATAAGCGTTTGTCACTCACACCTGTTAAAGCATGTTTTTAGATGAATAAAGCAGTGTCTATCTAGCCTCTACTCTCCTAGTATCTGTTATTGGCCCTCAGTAAGAGCCCCATGGCATTGACAGTACACTGGATTCATGTTGCAGCCCTCTTTGGTGCCCCATTTCTGAGGTGGCTTGGTTCCCATGTACAAGCTCCCAGAGAAAGTGTGCTAGGCTGTGCACAAAGCCCAGCACTTGTTTCACAGCAGAATGGTGCTGACCAGATCGCAGCTCTCACAATGATGTATGTGTTAAGTCAGTGGCTGTACTTTGTGGCAGGCTGCACAAAAGCCTGCTCATTAGTATGCGACAGGCACAGAGAAAAAGATGGGAGGCAGCGATGCCGAAAGGGAGGCCTGGAGGAAGAGACGATGTAATATTAGACTAGAGGGAGAGAGAAAATTGATGAAATCAACTTGATCTATCCATTTTTCTTGCCACGGAAGTTAGCCTATTCATTTAAAGGGGGTGTCTCTTTGTACCACATCTTGGTGTGTTCTTTTTGCCGTGGGGTAGGACTGTTGTTGAACTGCTTGTTTTACAGATGTTAACTTCAGGTTAATTAATTTCCACTAACTGACACCATTTTTCACTTTTATAGGTTTGGTTTCCTCTGGGGTCTGTTCCAACAATGGAAGCAATTCATTAGATGACACTTTATATTAACTGCTCTTAAAAGTTTGGTTACAAATGTACAACATGTTGTTTTAGTTTTGAATACTGATCATTTCAGTACATTTGAGAAAAAGCCTCTTGCTCCTTCTTTGCAACGTATAAAAATATGTTCTGAGTTTTATTTATTTTATTTTATTCTTTTTTTTGCGTCTGTCTCACTTATGGAAAAAACAGACAACCTCTGTGATGAGTTGCTTGCAGAAATATGCTATTTCAGCAACTTGACATACATGATCCAAATCCTTAAATAAACAAAATATCAGCCAATACACCGTTCTCTGATTAGGACTGAAGAGAAAACGTCTAGAGAACTGCACTTAGTTTAACTTCTCATGCTGAATATACAAGTTGTCCAACTGGTGTACCCCTACCAGGAGGACACATAGCTGATTTTTGAGTTTTTTACCCTAGAGAACACTGACATGTTTATTTTTTAACTGTAGAACTACTTGTTTATTTTTAATTCAGCCTTAAAAAAATCTGTGGGGCTCTATTGGCCCCTTTTCATAGCAGAGATTTTGACTTGTCATAGCAGGAAAAACACAGGTGTAATTGTGTGTTTTAATAACAGCCATGGCTTTGTTCTCTCTAAATGTCCCAGTAAGTCATGATAGTGTTGACAGTAAGGCAGCATGCACAATAGCAGGACTCTGACACTGAAGCAGATATATGGTATTCAGCTATCATTCATTTTATTTATACCTGTGCTTTTCCTTACAAAACTTGGAGAACAATGACGCTGAACTCCTACAACTAGTGCAACTTTTAGGGTTTGCTGCAGGCCCGTCACAGCGTCTTTGCAGTTCTAATTTGTCTCTTTTGCCTTTTAGTTTAACATTCTACTTGTGCATTGTGTGCATTAAAAAGCGGCCCTCTTCCTCTGCAACATCAAACTTCTTCATCTAACTCTTGTGCGCACTTGCCCTATTTTATAGTCCCTCACCTTTTATTGTTTTTTTGGTTCTGAAAAAGGGCCTGTAGTGCAGATTAAAAAAGGTAAAGTATTTTAATGGTATTACATACAAGAGGAGCTACAGGCATATCAGTCACTATGGACTGAGCCTAAGAAGCAGTGCCAAGTTTACACACATGCACGCACACACACGTACGTAATCCCTTTGATTGTGTCCTATTTCTCTGTCTCCATTGCCGCAGGTTTTTGTGAATGTGTCCTAGAGTGTGGGGGGATGTTACAGTGATGTAGCCCCCACGAGCCAAGATGTGCACTAGAAGAGCTGTGGCTCTGCTCCTTTTAATGCATCTTTTGTGCTTGTGTTTAGACTTTCTGCTCTGATTTTCTGTATTGCCTCAGTTTGGAGCTCAGATGTATTAGAGTATATCCAGGATTATCTGTAAGTGTAGGCTGAAGTGTAGTGTAGTTTGTGATTTTAAAAGACACAATGAACATATATGTTAAGGGAAGAGTTGCAGTCAATATGAGTTTAAAAAAAAAGAGAAATAGGACAAGTTGAGAACAAACTGCAAGCTAAATTGTACAGCATCTGACTGCTGAGGGGAAGCTGAATAATGTTTTTAAAGACAAATCAAACGTCTTTAGAAAACGACAAGTCAAAAACTGTTCACTCTAATCTGTTAATACACATTAGTTTCATTTTTAAGGTTTAGCTATAGGGCTGATTGTGGCTTGTCCCTGTACTTAAGAGAGTGTTTCTAATCTGTTCTTGTGAAGTTTAGCAAAAAATAAGTCAGACTACCTCAGTTTCACCTGGAAGAAGTGAAAGTTTAATATCCATTTCTAAGTTACTTACTATGCCTTTTTTTAGACGACACAGGATTTTTTTTTTTATTTCCTAATTATTTCACATAATACATATTAAACGCACTTTAGTGCCAGTGGAGTTCCAAGATTCGTTTTAATAGAGTAGGGGGGTCTTAAATCAGGAAATGTCCTCTTGAATCCTTAGAAGCTCTACATAATTAATATTTGATTCATTGTACTTAAAGAAGATTTTATGGATTTTTAAATTGCCACTGCAGCTTGTCATATTAGCAAGTTCAAGGGTTTTATTGCAACATTAATGTGTTATGATGGGTGCAGTCATGGTGATTGTGTTCTGCCACTGTTGAAGCACACTGTGTGTATTTTACTGTTTGATTTTCAGAGGCAGGGTCCTTGTAATTCATTTTTTATGGTTGCACATAAGTGTAGTACGTATAAAAACAGTTCACTGTGGAGATTGTGTAGAATGACCCCCTGGACAGACGATGGTGTGAAGGTTTGCGAAGTCTGGCACTTAAGAATTTATTGATATGGTTCACTTGTGTCCTTGACTTTGATGTTTTGCTTCTTGTGAGATCACATAAACATTTATCCAGATATTCACATACTTTTTCAATTCAAACCCTGCTGCAATGTGGTCATAGATATATTTTATAAGATTAGGCAAGGCCTAGTTTTGTCCGACTGAGTGCAGCCTGTTTGTCAGTAATCATAACTTGGAGATGTAGGCTGCTTTAAATTAAAAAAGGGACAGGTAAATTTTTTCCAAATAAAATGTGGATACTTCCATTGTTTATTCAGCTTTAAATACAATACAAGCTTATGGCTGCACCTAATGATTCTTTTAATCATCATTAGAGAATCTTATTGTCTTTATTTAAATTGTTCAGTCTATATAAAATGCCAGAAAATTGTGGCAAATACCAATCTCAATATCTTAAAACCGAAGGTGTCCTCTTCTTGCTCACTTTCAACCAACAGCCCAAATTCCAAAGATACTCTGAAATATCACATAAGATGAAGAAAAGCAGCATAAAACCTTTACTTAAGTAAAAGTTCTTACAAAACTTAACAGATGGCCTCTGTGACATATTATCATATAGAGTTTCTGATTGTTAATACTGATGCTTTAATGCATAAAGATTTTACTTTTGCAGCTAGTTGAGGTGTAGCTACTTTTTACTGCTTTAGATACACTTGCTTCCCCATGGGTCACAGTGGAAATCTGAGGGGACGTGAGATGGGAAAGGAGAGAAGGAAAAACAGTTCTTCATATGGTTGAGCAAGTATTTGGCTGAAATGAGTAATTGGCACAGATAATGTAGTATCGTCCAAGTAAAATTTGTGTATCCACTTTCTAATAGGCAATAAATATAGCAAGACATAGACATCTGAAATGTGACTGCTTTTCTGTAACTAGTAACTATAGCTGTCAAATAAATGTAGGAAAAGTTAAAAATTAGTATAAAATGGAAATACTCAAACATCAGAGGGAAGTTGCCCTAAAATTGTAGAATACACGATAGTACAAGTACAGGACTTTAGCTGGTCCTTTTACTTCATGGGGATGCTCAGCCGTGATTTGCCTGGAGCAACCATATGAAAAAAATCTTTGACGAGCCAAAGTCGGCTAAGGTCAAAAAAGACGTCTGAATTCTGACTTGTTTAATATCAACATCCAACATTGAAACATTGTATATGACAGAAACTAAGGAAAAGCTTAATAGGTCCCCTTTTAGGTGGGCACATTGCACTGAATACTGGTACACGGCATTAAAATTTCCTTCATTTATTCTTGTATTTAAAACGAGCTCTTTTATATTGATTCAAAGTGCTCTGCAGGACAAGGGGCAAAATCTATGAGTGGGAAAGATGGTCATATTCCGGTATCCATAATTCAGCTATCTCGAGTGTGGCGACACCTCTACAGCAGGTTCTCTCTAATAGCTCTATATTTCATTGAGGAAAACACCCTGTCAAAACTGACATGATGTATGACAATGTCTCTTTTCACCCCAACCTTGTCCCTCTTACACTCTCATCCTCACTAATGCCTTCTCTTCCTGTCTCCCTTCATCTCTCTCTCTCTCTCTCTGTAGTTTGACAAAGCATATGCCTACGGCATCCGCCACATGTTTGGCAAAGAAGGCAAGCGAGCAGACTACACCCCCTACAGTTGCATGAAGGTGATTTTATCAAACCCACCCAGCCAAGGCGACCATCATGGTGAGTTGACGGCTGTTGGAAGACGCCATTACCTGTAATAAAGCCACTCTGCTGTCATTATCAGGCTTTTTAGTTTAAGTATGTGGCTTGGAAATAGTGGCACAACAGACCTTGGACATTTGTCATTACCAAAATCTTTTTCATAGAATTTCTCCCATCTGTTAATCAGGTAATATGCTGTCTTAGATGTTTATTTTAATTCGTTTTCTTTTCCTGTTTGTAGGATGTCCATTCCGACACAGCGACCCAGAACTGCTGAAGCAGAAGCTTCAGTTCTACAAGGTGTCCCCCAGTGGAATCAGTCAGGTGGGTGCCGTCCCCTCTGCAGCAGGCTCAAATGGTCGAACAGCCCTCTAGCCACCATTATCTGCTTCTAACATCTTCTGTATTACATTTCTCCCCCTGATCTCATGAATCTCTGCAAATATAAATTGTTTTTTGTCAATTGGTTTTCAGAGTTTTGTCAGAAACTGGCATGACTCACCGGGCCCTCAGTGGGTGAGAGCACTTGTTCTTACAAGTCGGGAAAATACACACATTCAAAGTAGTGGACTAACCACTGCTGGGGAGATTGCCCAAACCTGTCAATGACTTCTTAAGAAGAATAAAAATTAGCTGACAGTAGTGTTGTCATACAGACAAAGCCTGACAAGACTAATGGTCCACTGAGGCTGTACTTGCATCGCTCTTTTGAGCTTAATGCTAATATGCTGATGTCATCATCTTAGCTTAGTGTGTTAGTATGATAATATTTTTACATAAGCACTCAACACAAAGTACAGCTGAGAATCGCATTAGTTTTGCCGGCATTTGGTCATGAACCAAAGTACTGAACAAATTTTTAAAAATGACCTTATTATGGCACTAGATGAAAACTTAATGAATTGCCAAAGTCATCATTTCATGCAATCCATTCAATAATTACTGAACACATTTTCTCAAAAACACAAATGTCAACCTCATGGTGATGCCAGAGGAAATTAAACTTGACTGGATAAGGCAAAGCTTTGACTTGCTGGTGGCGCTACATGAATAGTCAGGATCAACATCGTGATAAGAATTCATCCATGAATGGCTGTGCAAAATTTCATGGAAACCAATGCAGACACAAGTATCAAAATCCTAAAGATTTCCTTACTTTACTATTCACAGGATGATGTACAACATCTTCCCTTCATAGTAGTTTATTTCTGAAAGACCTGAAATGTGAAGATTGTTAAGGCTGTAATGTTATGTCAAGTGTGTGGTGGATGTTCCACATGTTGGTTCTCTAATACCCTAAGGACCGTATCACACCAGTTTGATATTTTCTCTTTAGTATGAAAGAAAATAGAAATACATTTCTCTTTACTATCAGTCCTTGTGTGCGTTTTTGCAAATGTTCCTCGTAGTCCATTAAACGTAATCATAAAAACTGCAATATCTGGCAGAAACTAAGAACAGCTCATCACTGATCTAATAGCAGCACCAGTGTCGAGCTTGCTTGTGGCAGCATCACGCTGGAGGCAGCCTTCAGGAATATAGGGAATAATGAAGGAGCCAAGTACAGGCAAAGGAGTCTCGTAGTGAATGCTGAAGACCTACAGCAGGTCACTCACCCTGAGTATGCAGTTACACCTGGGCTTTAAAATGTCTGCTCACATCCTCTCTTTTAAGCTTTAACAGAAATCCAGGAAATCCTATAATTAAGATGTACCAGAAGACTTGAAGGTGTAATCGTTGCCAACAGTTGTTCTGCAAAGAATTGACTCGGCAGGGATATTTAAATTAAGCCAAATGAGGCTGTGATCTGTTTTCATTACATTTGCAATGATTTCTTGAAGTATTTTTTCACTGCTGTCATTATGATTTATGAGGAATGTTTGTGTAGGTAGTTGACCTAAAGCCAATTAAAACAGCTTTTTATATAGGGCTACAGCAACACCAAATGTTGACAATAACCTCTTTAAATGCACTGTCAGTACCTAAGGTGCAACGGTTCAAAGATGTGTGAGAAAATAGTCAAATTTAACCCTAACCCGGTGTCTTGGACGTTCTCTTTTTCTATCCCGTCTCTGTTTCTTTGCAGATCCTGGAGCTGGTTAAAGGCATGCACTATCAGCTGGCGTGCCAGAAGTACTTTGAACTGACACACAATGTAAGTGCAGATTTAATTTGAAGCGGGGACTAACTGGGGCTACCTGTGTCACAGACAGGGGGGTTTGGTCCCTGCATCTCACGCATGAAGGTTTAGGAGAGACCCAGAACTGTCATTACCTCCGTCATTAGCTAACCATCATAGCCACTTATTTTTTCTAAGTTTATTATAGCGTTCCGATCCATTTTGTCCCCTGTGGATACTTACTTAATTTAATCTGTTTCAGTTTGGACGCTTGAGTCATCATCCCTTTCAGTCACACTCTCAAGGTCCTCGTTTTAGAGGGGGGACAAGGTCTTAAACTTAAAATGTTTGCTTGTGACTTTAAATGCATCACATTCAGCTGAATTTGGCAAAGAGTTTTAAGTTTATCATTTATTAAAAATTCAAGGTTTGGACTTGGCATCAGTTGTTTTTGTCATACAAGTATTAAAGCAATATAACACACCCAACCAATTGGAACATGGCTATTTAAGCTACTGTGAAAAAAACCTCAAAGATGTTGTGTTCTGCAGTCATGTGTAAAATTAATTAGTCTGCTTCACAGGACAATTTATACACATTGGATTCACATTGTTAGGATGCTATTATTTGATCAAAGCAAAGATTTAACAGAGTGTTGTGTAAGAGTGCAGGCTCACTTTTGGGAAGTGAGAAATCATAACAGCTGGTGAAGTAGTCAGTATTGATCTAACAACCCTTTCAGCCCCCCTGCAGATATATTATATGTTTCTAGGAAGCAGTGCAATCCCTACATAACTGCCTTCAAATTAGTTTCAGCAAAACGATTTTCCTCACTCTAGTGGTTCAACAGGTAGAAATTGCAAAATGAAATGTGTCCTTACTGATCTTAATTTAGCAGTCGGAAGGCGCTGATAGAGCTGCTAGTCATTTGTAACATTTACTCCTTCAATATGAAATGGTTTTGAAAACATCAATCACAAGTACGTAGTTGTTTAAAATTTACGGAAAAAGGTCACAGAGCATTCGGAAGAGTTAGAACTTCATCTGTTTATTGATTCATAGGTTTTTACTCACCATGAGTGATTTTGACATTTCATTTCCTAAAAGGGCATTTCAATTCTTCACTGTGCTCCGATGGAACAGTTAGCCGGTGACTTAGCTTGCTAATTTGGCCACGAAAGCCTGCTGTCCTCATTATTGTTAATAAATTGGTAAATTGTTAGTAAATTAGCAAACCATTTCACCTTTTCCCCATGAAGCAGATGTTACAAGATCATCTTATAAAAGGTGACATGACATTGAATCAATCAGTTTGCCACCAACCTGCCACACCTGTTAAAAAAACAAAAAAAAAAAACTAAGACTGCTGTTCTCATTTTCTCTCATCCTTCCTCTCCTGTTTTATTTATTTATTTATTTTGTGCAGATTGAGGAGGCCAGTTTCTCTCTCAATCACCCCAACCAGTACTTTATAGAGAGCCAGAGAGTTCTGGGCGGAGGCAAGGACATAAAGCGAGAGATGGACACTCCACAGAGGTCGCAGGATAGCGCCGTTGCCAAAGGATCCGGTGCAGCTCGAGAGGCAGCAGCAAACGCCCCCCAGGGTTTGGCTGAGATGACAGAGGATCTGGACTCTTTCTTTCAGGATGCCTGACTTTATTTTTTGTTTCTTTTATACGCGTAGAAATAAATGTACGTTTGTCTTTTCTATGAGGACTGGGGGTTTGGTGACAGTCCATATTCTGACTTCCACTTATCTGTATCTGATGTGTTAAGTATTAAAGTTGCATCTCGGTAATTTCATGATCTGTTAGTCTACGCAGACAATGAGTTAACCTTGACAGTACAATAGTCAACCTCAATCTTCAAACCAAAAGCTGTTTTCTACCTTTAAGAGTTCCTTGTGAACATGTAAGCGTAAACATATCATTCATTTTTCCATTTAACCCGAGTGTTAAAAGTCTCTAGGTTCTCTTCCTTTGTTTTCACCGTGGTCTGAACTCAGGCTGCTTATAGCCAGTCTCAGTGCACAGTGTTTTGGCAGGGACATGGTTTTCGGGGTGATGAGTAGAACATTTCCCAGCTGTCACAGAAACAATGTCATTGTATTTGCTGGCAGGAGTATGGATGAATGGTGGCAGGAGGATGGATGAAAAATAAACAATTTCCTCAGTTGTATTATGCCGCCTTGGAATATTGCCTTATAGTGCACAATGCAGTTTATTCCGAGCACACGTGGTCAGATATTTCCTCACTCTCCTCTCCAACTTCTTTCTGCTTAATAATTTGTGAAGAATGGTGGCTCTCTGAAAGTCAAGAATCTTCTGCGCTAAAGTGGCGCCAGCTTCTCTAATCTCAGTTCTTTAGGAGCTCTTATCTCCACTTTTACTATATGCTTCTTACAAGATTACCAACTTTAGATCCAATTAAATGCACCGAACAGGCAGCACTGAATTATATGAATACAAATATGTTTCCCAGGAGGCCAAAGGAAATATTAGATGATTGAATGAAAGCCTCTTTCTGTAATTTAATCATTGTTAATTTTAAATCAAATTGTGCGTCCCTCAGGGTGTCAGATGTTAAAAAAATCAGTTGCACGTTTGCTCTGCAGGCTTTTCTGTTTCAAGACTTTCTGACACATTCAGACCACAGTTAGTCACTTTCTCATGCCTGTAATGTCAGAGCATAAACACACGGCCTGCACCAGAGCTGCACATAGCTGGAATTAAATTAGGTCTTAAAATCCAGGCATGGTGCTTGACATAGAGCGGATTTATTCAGTATAATAAGGCGACTGGATAACAGTACGCAGCCGGGCTGCTGTCAGCAAGAGACCCTTGATGTTTAATATTTGGTTGAGCATGACTACGTTTGACAAAGCTGGCACTTTTTTAGACTCTGGGCAGGCAGTTGACTAGGACGGTGTTTATCTCCTTCGAATGGATTTACAATCATTAGTCATGAACTTGCTTGCTTTCGTCTTGTGATTTGTTCTCTTCCCATGCTCATTACATGGGCGAGAGGTGTTCTTGGGGACGCTGTATTATCCGAAAGGGCAAGAAATTGAATCCAAGGCCTAACGGCAACATTTGTGTCATGAGCCTCGTATGGAGCTGGAGCTGACATACAGAGTGAATCTGTATGCATGGATGTGTCTGTCTTTGTGAATGTGTTGTTGCAACCTGGAATTCGTAAATGCTGCAAACGTAACATGCTAAAGGTCATTTGCATTGCGTCTGCAGACGAGGAATCTCGATTCAAACATAAAAATTAACAAAGAAAGCGAGACTTAAGGTATAATATGGCGATATTGCCTTGTGATGTGAAAAGGCACCAAAACAAATCAAAATGTTATTTGTCAGCGGTATTGAATTGAACATCGACTCTATTGTACATTTCTATTCAGAGCATGATGTTTCTCTTTGTCCTCTTCCTAATGTAATTTCACTCACGGGACCAAATGTGCAGCCGTTAGATTTGTTTTATTTACCAGAAGCAGCTCTTGTTAATTTGGGGATTTGTGTGCATTTTGTTTCCTACTCATTTTTAAGGATTAGATAACATCCCGTAATGCTTACTTGTACATCTCGCCCTCCAGCTTCGCAAAAATGAGCCGCAATTTATTTGATAACGGTCTCATTCCTCATTTCAGATCTCATAAAAGGTTGTGCAGTCATGATGGAGTATTAGCTTTTCAGTGGGAGGAAGAACAGATTATTTGGGGTCTTTAGTGGATTCTTGTCAAATTAGTTACACTGCAGTCACAAACGTTATCCTCGCCGCACTGGAGTCACTGCTAAATATATATTTTTCAAGGTAATGAAAAGTTTGAGCAGATCTGAAGCAAAGCCTGCTCGAGGTTAAATAACTAACAAGTCCTTAAGCTAGAACGTGGAGTACATTGCTTAAAGGCTTGGATTTGCACTTGCTGTGTTAGTTTTTGAGGGGGAAAGAAATTGTTGTGCCTTGTTTGAAGAAGATCTGTGGTTTGATGTGTGAAGGTACCAATTCATCTTCAACTGAGCAGATTCCAACTGCTGATGGAGACTAACATATGGGTTAAAGTCCAGGAAAAGCTAGTGAGTGGACTGATTTTATTGTTAGTTATATATAAACAAATGCTTGAAATATGTTGTGGAGTCAAACTTCCTAAAGTGCACATATTTGGATATTAAGATCTTTTATTCAAAGCTAATTTTAAGTGTGAATTTTGAGGCGATCAAATACGAGTTAAAATGTGAGCAACAGGGGATTGACATTTACAATGGTAATTATCGGAACACATTTAATCCTTCCTAGCATTTTGTGGAATAAGAGTAAACATGCAAACAACCAAAACACAGACCAAACAACTGTTCAAACTGAAAATGTTAACTAAAACGCTGCTTTTAGCTTTTTTATTTTGTTTTATTTAGGCTATGTGCTCTGCTGTCAAAAGTGTGTGTATTTAAACATAATGGCAAAGAGGGGGTGACATTTAATTCCTTTACTCTCCAGGTTCACTCAAATGTCATTCAAGACTATATTCCATTTATCCACTCTAGTGCATACTCGAAGCCCATATTCCCATTGGGATGTATTAAACGCAGCATGCTTGGAGGTTTACTTTGCTGGCAAAGAATAGCACAACTATTTTACCATGGAAAACATTGCTCAGCCTGAAGACTGTGTTTGGGATAATTATGAAGAAGAAAAATGTGTCTCTGATGTGTCACAAAACCAATCAGAAAAGTATTTTTCAGTTTGAACAATTTAAGTTTCTGAGCACAGACGCTGTGACATTTATTAAAGTAATTCTCCACAGACTGCTCTGCAAAGGTGAAGATGAGAGTTGTATGACTAATGTGGCAAGTTCTAAACCTGAAAACAGAAAATTATAATAAAGGTATTGCTAAGCGCTCTGTGTTAAGAATCCTTGATTATAATTTATATTCAGTTTCGTATTTATTATGTCATTAAATTAAAGCAACATGATGGCATTTTATTGTCTCATATCTGAAATCCATTACGGTATTCAGTTTAAGATATTAGTTTGGTGCTGAACTGACCTTACAACACTCTTACGTTCTTTCATTAATTATCTGACTAATATCACTGACTGTAGACTAAATGTATGACTTGTGAGTGTATAAAACTAACCAAATTAAAAGTCATGCAGTATTTTACCTGCTGGTTTCATCTAAACTGATTTTATCAAAGCACACAGAAGGCAGATTTTTCCTTCTTTTTGACTTTTTGGTATGAGAAAATCGGTACAAACAGAAGGTAACCATGCAAACTCCGTGGCTGGGAATTGGGTTTTTGTTCTCGCTGGGAGGCTTCAAATGCAGGAGTGAATTTAGCAGGAAACTCAGCCGCTACAGATAGGTGTTATCAGGGAAACTAAGCCTGTGTCCTTCCTACAAGGGTTTAAACTGTACGGTGAGGATGCACCTGTTGGCGTCATTCCATTGGTCTAAATCTGGAGATCCACGAGTGTCCATTACTGTCTCTTGATGACGTTTGGTATTGATTGTAACACCAGATGGAAGCATCAATTACTCTCCCATCAGCATTTTGTCCAATTCATGTGAAACCTGGCAGTATAATGCAGGTTGTGATGTTGGTCTCTTTTTAAAAAAAAAAAAAAAAGAAAGGAGGGGGGTGGGGGACTGTTGTCAAACAATACATTTATCATCAAGTCCAAACACAAAATTAGCCAGGGGGATGTGACAACCCTGATGATTGTAAAATTGGAGGCAAACTTCCTGCAGCTGTATGTAAACTCATTATTATTCCCCCGGGCGTTTGTCTCATTAACCTGACAGATGTGTGAGCCGCTGCTCATGTGATTAACTTTGCTCACAAACTCTTCACTCTTATAAGCTTCACCTGCAGCCATGCTGTCGCTTCTTGTTAGACTTTATGTTGGACAAAACCTGCGAAAGAGGAGAGTGAGTTGCTAAAAAACATCCCCGCTCCTGCAATGCTTTGGTAAACAGGTTTTAATCAGTGTGGAACACATGCGAGTTGGTTTAACTTCTCTTCACGCTGCCGTGGATCAAACTGCTTAGTAAACACTGACCATCTATTCCATCCACATATAGAGTTGCCTGACTGAGAAGGGGGGCTTACATTTTCATCTTTATTTCTGCAATTATTTTTCCCATTAGTTATTTGAGCTTTGAAGACAGAATTTAATGAGATCACACACACACACACATACGGCATCTCATTCTGCTGTATCTATCCACATCTGTGTTTACATTGCTCTCCCTCCGCATTGCTTGTGTTGACACCGTGGCTGGATTCCTTTAGATCCACGACTGCAGAAATGATCACAATGTTAGAGTTTGACCACATTTAAATAGCAAAACCCATTTTGTGTACAGTCTGACTGTGCTAATGAGATGGTAAGCCACAAGGCAAATTAAATATTTATTCACATTATATAACATTTTGTGGAATACACTTATTTGTTTTCTTGCTGATGGTTAGATGAGAAGACTGATACCACTCTCATGTATATGGTAAATATTGAGCTGCAGCCTGTTAGCTTAGCTTAGCACAAACACTTGAAGCGGGGGAAACAGCTAGCCTGGTTCTGTCCAAACGGCAAAATATATAAAAATACACGTACTAATTCATCTGGTACTACAAGTTGTGGCTTTATAATGACAAAAGGAATCCAGGAAGTTATGCACCCTACCAAGAAACAGTCCAGCACACAACCCCCCATTAACCCACAACTTGTCCTTTTTACTTTATTTACTATATTACTTTATCTTTATCAAGAAAGCAAGTGTATTTCTCAAAATGTTTAACTATTCCTTTACGTAAAAATATAGAACATCTCTATCTGCAGCTGGTCTATTCAGATTTGTCCCAGTATGTGTGCAACATATACCCTCAATTTAATATATTAATGGCTGGTTCTCTAATGATGATTCATTGTTGAGTAGTTGCTGTTGCTCCGCAGAAAAAAAAAAAGTCTTCTCACTTCCTCTCACTACCAGTTAAGTGGATTCTGTCACACTTATTAAAAACAAATCTGCAGCAGAGTGTGACACATCAAAGGAGAAGTGGAAAGCAAATCCCCTTGTTAATGGTGGGAATTGTGGAAGCGGGGACTGAGGGATGTTGGGGGGACATAATGGCCCTGACAATCAACCAGCTGAGTGCCCGTCCTTTTTCCC